TTATAAAAGAAAGTTCCGATTGGACATGGTCAAGTGGCAAGTGGAAATGTGGAAAATCAAATTGGTTTACCTTGAAAAAGATTTATGCAAGTTAGGAACAAAGATTGGATTTAATAATATAGCAATTATTCTTACAGATAATTAAAGAAATGTAAGTAACATTAGTTTATTGATATTGTATTTATAATACTTTTTTTTTCAAATCTTTAACTATATAATTTTGAAAGCTTTCTCTGGTTGTGATTCAACTCCTGACAACCTTCAGTTTGATTTCATAATGACCTCCACACCGCTTCTTTCCTCAATTGTTGCGCCTCGTTAAATGCTTTCAATGCTTTTTGACTTTTACTTGTCGACAGCAATTTATTTTATTTATTTAAGTTAGGTTTTCCTCGTTTTTTTATAGGTTTTTTGCGACAAAGCTTTGCTTGTAAGTCGCATTATTATTTTCACATATTAATGAAGCGCACGTTTTGTCGATTATATATGATTTTTTTGTGGGGCATTGTTGTAATGTTTAAATTATGATTAGCGGTTTGTCATTGTCAGCATCGAACTGGTGATGATTTGGCCGGTGACTGGTGGTGCCTCCTGGTTATTTATGCATTTCTGCTTTTTGTGGCTTTAAGATAACACAATGACCCTCGAAAGTATCTCAAAGTGTAGAAAAACATATGACGTTGATCTTTGCCTTTCCATTGATACGCTTTCAAGTGTAAAAACGTGACGAACTTTTGGTTCAATCGATTTGGATATACATATGTATCTTTATCTTCAGGTCGATGGCGCTTTCTATCGATCTTTCACAGAAAAAAGAAGGGAAAGTTTTAAGCAAATTAGATATTAATAAGCTATATGGTTCAAACAATTAAAATTCATATAAAAGAAAACATTCTTTATAAATACTTGCAATATTTTCTAACCCCTTCAATCCTTCAAAAAAACAATAACACATATTTATTATTAAACTAACGCCAACATATGGAAACACTCATCCACAGTCAGGCACTCATTCCCCCTCTGTATATATATATATATATATCTGCCAATAGCATTCCTTCCAATTTTATTATATTGTTCAATCAGACTAAAAGTTTTGCCTTGGTTGCGTGTCGAAGTGGCATTAATTCCATATCGGACAATTCATTTGCCAAATACAAAATCATTATTTATACGCATCAAATATTTTTGACTTGGACATAGTTTTTCCTCAATTTTTCGTTTGCCTTCGATATGTTTATGTATTAATAAATTTATTTGCCATTATTGGTGGCGAGTAACAAAATCTGAACATTTCCGTAATGCCAAGGTGAATGGATAAATATTTTGCAAGGAGTGTTCAAGGAAAGTTATTCGAAAATCTTGATTAAATATAGATACAAAAACTAGATATTGTTTTAATTAAATATTTTAACTCATAGTTTTGTGGTCTTTTGTATTCCTATTCTCTTTTAAAACATTTATTCTCTCTATACAAATTATGATGTAATAATTGCCATTTCACACGTGTAAAATAACACTTTCGATTGGTAATTAACTCTGGCCCACAATCATAAATTGGTATTTGATTACACAAGTGAACAGGTGTGTGTGTAGGGGTGGTATAATTATAACGAGTGCTTTCAAAATTAATAAATTAAGACCCGCTCTTGACAGAATTTGGGGAATGCCATTAAGGAACTTAGCTGCGCTAGGCAATTTTCAAATTTTCACACACATTACCGTTGTAAACTTTACTCTGTTGGCTGTTTTGGGGCAAATTACAGTTATAAACAATGCGACGGCTGCCTTGCCACATGGCCAAAATGCAGTTGCAATTGTCAGAGGCATTAATAATGCATATGGCCACATTCACAGACACACTCTAGCGAAATAGAAACTCTAGACTTGGGGATACCTATTGCTTTAAATCTCTAGTTAAAAATCAAGATTTAAATGTGGTTAAAAATTCCATATACCCTTTAACTCTAAACCAAGAGGTATCAAAACACAAGAGACAGGTTGCACAGTTTTATTGGCCACAAAATGATTTCTGCTTATGATTTTTTTTTTTTTGTTACAACTATGATCATAGCTGACTTTCTAGCCATGAAACCTCAACAAATAGATAAATAGCCTTAGAAAGTCAAAGTCGTTGGGAAGCCAATGGAACGAGTCGTATGCGAATTGCATTTTGATCAAATTTGGCAATCCCGAGGTCACTCTCGAAGTTTGAAAGTCATCCAAGTGCTGCTTCCTTGTTAGAAGTCTGTGAAAACCAAACATGTTTGCTTTTATATATGGGGAAAAGTACATATATAAAACTGTGGGGGAAAAGTTGGAAAAACAGGTGGTGCGGATAGAGAAAGTAAGAGGAGGGAACGGACTGAGAGCAAGAATGATTTTGAAAGTAAGAATTGTTTGTGGGAAAAAAGTTATACCAAAGCGAAGTACAATTTAGACAGAATAAACTCTAATCAATGGTATCTATTATGTCCTAATAAAGCAACAATTTTAAACAAAATTACATATTATATTTCCGTTGGAACCAATTAACACAAAACGTTTATTCATATGGCCCAAAGCAAATGGTAAACAAATGCAATGAAACGAAATTAAATAAAAACCGTATACGATTTCATAACCATAAATTTGTTGGCAGTTGTTGATGGTGTGAATGGGCCAAACAAAAGTGGGTTAATTTGCACGAGCACAGAAATCGAAAGAGAGATAGGGACAGATGTGAATATAGTACCAGTGATTTAATATAGGAAAATATATACTCTATATAAATGTATAATTATTGCAAATATTGATTCGTTTAATGATGTCTATTGTATATTGCATTTGTATAATAATTTGTCTTTCTCTTATCTTTGCAGGTAGTAAACAAAGTCTTCTATCAACTTCAAGTCAAGAAAAGTCAAGGCAAGTTAATAGCACCCAAAAACGATAATCATATCTGACAACGCCCAACGTTTAGACGCTGGTTTAATTATAGTCTAAATAACCAAAAGGAAAAACATACCTGCACTTGTTTAACGCACATACTAGATGCTCTTCTTTTATTGAAGTTTATGGAATAGTTTGTAATAGGTTTTTATGATAAAATATAATAGTAAACGTATGTTTTTATTCTGCATTTTCTATTAGATATTTTATATTATTTTCTTATCGAAAGGGTATTACTTATTCCTTTTTTTTGTTGTATTTTTTGTACAATTCTCCAGGCAACCCCCGCAGAGTTGAATGCTCCACTTTTGGGCGACAATTTCTTGTTCCAGGTGGCTACACCACCGCCATATCCATCCAAATTAGCCATGATATGCGGTGTGTTAGGTGTGTGGAGGTTTTTCTTTTTGTTTTTCACGTGGGCGTACCTTCAATTGAGGGGGAAGAATGTAACCGCTGCACTTGGAAAAATTACTTTGTAGCCTGGGCCTCCCTTAGGTAGCATTAGCCATCACCAAAAACAAAATAGAAATATACAAAAAATAGTAATAATAATAGTAAACATAAGCTCAACTGTTATTGGTTGAACATGCAACTCATAATACCAAGAACTCGCATAAAACACGTCGCCTGTAGTTCGTTTCGTTGGATATTTAGACCAGACTTCTGGCCAGACTTGGGTTGCAGTAAGCCCTTGGCCTGTTTTTTTTCTTTTTTTTATACTTTATATATATGGCTCTGACTACCCCCTTTTGGCCACACCCATGCTATTTCGTTTGGCCACTGGCTTCCGACTGGGGAGCCACGTGCTGGTAACTAGTCAAAGCTTTCAACAGTGGGCTTCTTTAACTTTTCCTTATAATTGAGAAATATTAAAATTAATTGATTAACTAAGCAAATGAAAGAAAGATTGATATATAATTTTAGGAAAAGATTTCATTAAAAAAAACTTATCCTTTGATGAGATCCAAAGCAATTTGGTTTGTTTTTGAGTTGCTTGAAGGAGGCTCTACTGTAGACGCTATTGTTGTTGTTGGTGTTTACTATTTGCTGCGGTGGTTGTGTTTTCCCTTGTTGTTGATGTTCTTGTTGTTGTTAAGGTTGTTATAGTTGGTGTTGTTGTAATTGTTGTTGTAATTGTTGGTGTTGTTGTTATTCATGTCTGACTGCAGTCGGAAATGGCATTTGACTGTTTGACTGCGTTTTATGCTCTCGGCGCGACTTGAAATTATTCCACATTTTGTTGGCTGTTTTTTTTTTTGTTGCTTTGTTGCATTGGTACGTGTTTTTTGTTGATTTTTCAGTTGTTGTTTATTTACTCCAACGATTGAACTATCCCCCAAAGTAACAAGGAACTTGTTCGGTCTCAAATATGGACTTTTTGCCGGCTTCGATTGTTTATTACCTTGCCCAGACAGTTTGGTAGTTTTATGTTTGTTTTTTGTAAGCTTGTATTCAATTATTTTATTTTTTTTTATAGAAAAATGTATTAAATGTATTATTATGTTTTTTAAATTGTTTGTATTGTTAAGTATGTATTTTATGTAAGCATTTCACACATAAGATCCTGGCTTTTTACATTTTCGGACAATTCCCTTAAGGAATGTCAAATTTTTATATAGAAACAAGTATGTAAGTTCTCTGACAACTTGCAGACTTGTAGAATATATCCCCATAGACACTGTCTGCTGAATAAATGTTGCAAAAAAGTTGACTAGAAATAATTTATATATATATGTGTACATGCTTTTTGTACGTAGGGGAAGCAATTCTGCCAACATCTGTTGCGATCAACTAAATCTTGAGCGTGAGAAGCATCACGCGTAGCTGAAAAGTAAAGTAATAATAATAATAATAATAATAAGAATACGAATACAAAATGTGAAATACTCAGCTCAGAAGATTGTTAGAGTTAGATTTTTGAGATGCTTTTTCCCTACACAATCCACAATTCCCCTGTAGTAAGGGACCGTTTTTTCCCTCCCATTTTCCGAAGTATTCGGAGGAAACTTTCTATACCAACAAAAAAGAAAAAAAAAAAGTTGTTTTTCAAAATATACGAAACTGAATCTTTTGATTGCACATATATAATTTTCAATTCAAAGGGTATGGCATTTGTGTTTTCCTTTTATGTGTATCTGGGTATCTAGGCTTGAGTGCATTATAGTCATAGTAGAGAAATGGATCAACGTCCAACCCCCAGCCACTGTATTCAGTATTATAGTCCCAATCCTCATGGGTTTGTCGCAGTGGGTAATATGGTACATTAGATTCCATCCGCATGTTCCTTATCATCATACACTCAGTGAAAACTCGCCAGTTTATTTGTGTGGGGGAATGGCACTCTTCTGAATCGCTCCGCAAGTAGATACGCCATCGTAGATCCGTTAATATTGGCTGCTTGGCGTGAACAAAGTGGTAAAATGGCTTCATTAGATACCTCATCATTCTTGGAGTGTTGTAAATAGTTGATTGAATTCTGCACACTTTTTTTGTAATGAGCCTTTTTGGATTAAAAATTGCGGTATGTCTATCCAATTCTGGAAAAGGCCCGGAATATTGAAGACCAATGAATCGAGTGTCACGATACAAATGTCCATATGTGACGCCCCATGGATTATATACCCAATGGCCCAAGTAGTCAGTTTTAAAAATGGGAATTGATATTGTCTTCTCAGTTGGCAATGTGGTAGGCTGAACTCCACCAATTTCCGCAGCCTCGCTTGGGGGTGGATCTGGGTCATCACTCTTTTTCCTAGAGACAACACCTTTGCTATCACCTTTGACATTAGCATCATTCTTATCATCATCATCCTTATCTGTCTCCTGAGGGGTTTCCGATTCACTTACATTGGCAGTAAAAAATTCAGGGAATAGCCGCAGTCCAAGATTTGACTTTGACATCGTTTCTTCTGGGTCATTAAGATAATCACTTTGATAAGAATTTTTGTCCTTTGGCTTCAAACCTTCATTGTGGACCGGGTCTTTGACTTGAAATCTTTCTCTTTCCCTTAGACTTAGGTCTTTTACTTTTAATTTGCTTTTAGGAACTTTGATTGGGAATGGAACAACGAGCATAGAAAATACCTGAGAATATCGGTTGACATTAAGATTTATAATTAAGACTTATAATTAATAATTGAGAAACTCACATTAAATAGCCAAATGAGAACTACAAATACCAAATAAATTTGATCCATTATGTGAACACCTGACAGGCAGGTTGTTTCTAATGTTAACTTGTGTTTTTGATTAAATGCTAACTGAATAGAATTATTTTGCTTGGGTAGATATGATATTCAAAACTATAGGTTTATTCGTTTGTTTAGTAAAAATCACAGTTTTAAATATTAGATAAACAGATACAGAAAGTCAGGAAACTATAGTCTCTATATGAACTATATCAAACCGATATTTAACGCTTGTTTTCTTGTGTTGTGTTATATTTCTTTAAAAGTATTTTAATTTCTTTATAATACAAAATATATATATATGTTTTGTAAGCTTAAACTCAAAGTCTTGTTACATACAACTTAAAGATACGTCAGACTGGACAAAGAATATCCCTTTTGCGTCCCGGAAATTCCTTTTTGGCCAAGAAGTTGTTGTGCCACACAGACAAAGAGCCAAAGAAGTGCAGAAATTGTTGTCTCTCCAGGTGTTCTGAGGTGTTCTGAGGTGTGTGGGGATTGCTTCCTTTATGGCTCTCAGCCAGCTTAATGACTCACTTGAGTAGCACTTTTTTGTTAAGGTTTTTGTTTATTTGTCACTATTCCGCTTCCTGGACTCGAGCTTCGCTTTCTTTTTCCACTGTTCTGTTCATCGAATTGTTGGAAAAAAAAGAAATAATAATAATAAACAATTTTTAAGCAACTTCTGTGCTGTTTTCACTCACCTATGCAAATTGGTATGTCATGAAGTCGGAGCTGGTATCCGTTTCTACTCTTTTGATTTCGTTTGCAAATTAAAGACAACAGGGCCAAAAAAGTGGGTTAACTTTGTGGGCATAACTTTCCGGTGACAATTGCTCAAAAGTAACCTAACTTGCTGTGGACATTTAATTAGTTTCAGGGAAAGCACACACACTCAAATTTTGTGACCCAAAAAGCACCCAAGACAATGACCTTCAACTGAAATGACTTTTCATGGTTCAAAAATCACTTAAACTTGAACGGTTTGTGAGGCAAACAAAAGTTCAGTGGCCAAACATTTAATTGATATTTATGTATGGTCTTAAGTGATTTTGTTTTTTGTTGGCCAACACAGAAAGTCACACATCCATCAAGTTGAGCAGATTAAGGCGACAAGGCCTGAAGAATCTTGATTTCTGTTACCTGAGAGTGAAGTTGAGTCACATTTTGGGGGCTTGGGGTTGACTTCACAATGCTAATGAAGTGGCTATATTCAGTGTTTTGTTGCACTCGCAATTGTTAACTTTTTTTATTCGTATTATTTTATTTTATTTATTTTCTAGACACTGACGACTTAATGAGCTGATATTATGGTTTAGCTGTGGGCGCAGCCTTGTTCGTATCGATAAGAGAATTCGCCGTCAGTGGGTGGTGATACCTGTAATTATTTGCCAATGCTTGAGGGATTTGCATAATTAAATAGAGGTGAAAAAGGTGGCTATAATGGTAGGAATACCCTGGTTAAAATATTCTTTGTATTATCAATAGGTTTTGAAAAGAGAATGTTGAGGAATAAGTTGGTTTTATATTATGGAAATTCATAATCTTGTTTGTTTATGCAAAATATTTAAAACTATTCTAGTTCTTGTATTTCCCAACCTTTAGTAATTTTAATTTGTATTTGTTAACTACTTTTTTCTCGCTTAGTATCTGTTGGATCTTTCATTGTTCTATCTACCCCAATAGCTACCCTTTAAGCCATGTTTGTCAAGTGTCAAGAAATGGCCAGCCATTTGAGATTTGCCAACGGTCGACAGCTAACAAGTAACAGGCCAAACAATATCAGCTGAGAGCCAAGCGACTAACATGGCCAACAAGAGCAAACTGTTTCCGCTCCGTTGCAAGCCCCGCAGGTGGGTTGCTGGGTTTGCTGGGAGCTGCTTCCTGGGAGGGAAGCCCCCTTGTACATACTACTGGCTTTTCTAATTCTATTACGCGCACACATAACATAACCCCATACCAGAGTTAGCGGCTATAATTTTATAAAAGCTGGAGTGCAGGCAACCGGTTTCTGTTTTGTTTCCACACGAAGGTTATTTGATATCAACTCGCATCCGAATCTGAATCGAAATCTGAGTCTGAATCTGAGTATGAGTATGGGTATGACTATGAGTATGAGTGTGAGGGGATTCTGGGTTTGCCATTGACGTGCTCTTTGCTAGGAATATTAATTACGCCTTTTGCATTCTATTTGAATTCCAAGACAGATTTTGCTTTGAATGAAAGCTGCGGCATGTTGATGGGCTTCGTTGATTTCCTTTTTGATTTCCATTTCCCCATTGGGGGAAATTGAGCATTGTCAAGTCTCGAGATTGACTATCTCTTTTGTCGACAGCTTCCTTGCATTTGATTGAAATGAAATTCAAGTGTTTTAATCTGTGACAAAGTTCATTGTACACTTTCACTGTAACATTTAACGCAGATATGTGTTATCATTATTATTATTGGTTTGAAGTAAACAATACAACTTTTATGTTCTTATCTGATATTTACCTTTATGCTTTGTTGAGTCAAGATCGCACTTTGTTCTATATTGAGGCTATGTGTGATCAGGTGAGACTAACACGCACTTTGGTCATTTTAAGCTGTTGTATTGGCTTTTACAAGGTTTAGTTTGAATAGTTTATAATTAATAGCTTTCACAACTTTAAAAGTTTAAAAGTATCAAGTTTCTTGCTGAACTTTTGCTTAAATATAGTTCCATTTGATAATAAATCATCATATTTTAAAAGTGAGCTTGTTGTGGGAATACAAAACCAATTAAAAATCAATAATATCTTCAAGTTTACTTCCAAGATCGAGTGTAACTCAAGTATCAATTTGAACACTTTGGAAATATGATCTCATCTTGATGTCAATGCTTTCAGTTCCTGTCAATATCTATGTCATAATCAAAGCATCATTATATGTATATACCTTTACTGCCATCAGTTTTGATAACTGTTGATGGTTCGAAGGTAGCAAAAACGACAGGTAAACAATGAATATAGCCCAGAGGCGCCAGAGAATGAAAAACAACCAAGATAAATATAAAATCTCAAGACCCCCCATGACACATTCTGTATTTTTACCGTTCAATTCTTCATCGATTTCTCGATTTCGCAGACTTTCCATATCAGTTTACGGTTCTTTTGTTGGTTAAATGTTTTTAATTTTGTTGTTCTTTTGCTAGCTGATAACTAATTTCTTTTACTATTCTTATATTTACGCTTTTGATAGCTGGACTCCGATTGTCATGACGTAATTTTTCACAGAACAATAATAGGAGCTAGAATGTCTTTATAACATTTCTAATTCTTCGCTTTTGTTTCCTTTGCTTGCTTATTGTGTGTGCCAAGTTTTTCCCTCATTACAGTTTGTTCTATTTTCCTTGGTTTTTTATTATTTAAGTTTGCTTTTCATTATGTTCTTTTTAGTGGCTTTGTCTCAAGTGCTTGTGCAGAAATGTTGCGTCAATTGCGTAGCTTTTCTTCTTTACTATAAAGCATATAGCTCATGGCAGCGGTCATTGAACCTTTGAATTGTTTAATTTCATGCTAAACTATTGTTTTTGGGAGTAGTTAGTGTATGGCTCCTAATAGGCCCTAAAACATTTCACAGCTTTTAAGTGTTTTTTTCCAAGCCAATTTAACGCTCATTTAACTGCAGTTAGCTGGGTTTTCTGTTTGCATTCGGGGCTTTCCTCATGCAAAATTGGAAAACCATTTTCATCGCGACTTCAAAATGCATTTTTCTTTATTTTCTTTTATCTTTGCTGGCTTTTTATTTGGTTTTTTTATACGACTTCCGTGTAAAATTTCAGCATCGCATTCACTTTAGCAGCCTCATTGTCTTGGCTGGAATTGTTTCTCCACTTGGCGCTCTTCGTTTGTTGTTTTTCGCATAAGTATTTAAATTTTTTTAACATTTTCCTTCACTTAAAGAGATCTCAAGTTGTTTTCCCTAGGCAACACCTGATGAAGGCGCATAATTTACCAAATACACTGAGGAAAAGTAGCAAGAAATTTGAGGAAAATTTAATACTTAAATTTAAAAAATACAAATTAAGCGTATGATAGCTGAATGTGTTTTCAAATGAAATTTTATAGTTTATTCTTAAACAAAATTATATTTATTGTTAAGTGGACTTTGTTCGGATTTAAGAAATAGATTTTCCTATATAAACTATTGCCTTGATTTGTTGTCAGTGCATTCCAAAAATATTTTTGCATATGGCAAACACATCATGCAAATTTTTGTTGTCTGTTTTATCGTTTATTTTTTTTTTGTGCTGTGTTGCATGTTCATATGGGCCTTAACACCCTTGTGCCCCTATATCGTCTTAAGCCCCTTAACCTTCCTCCTGGGGATGCTGTTTACCAATCATTGGAAAAAGAAAAATGTAAAGGAATTGCAATCATCTTGCCCAAGAGCTGCTACAATATCGTCTTGATGCAACAACTTCAATTTGCATTCCATTTTGGTGGAAATACTTGCCGCATGCTGTGGATATGCCACGCCCCCTTCCTCCCCTGCTCACATGTGTTACGGCAACTTAAGTGTAACATTTTATTAAACTTGAGGCGTCGCATGGCAGGCAGGCTGAATAAAAAAAATAAATAAAACTCGCAACGTGCCTTCATCCGCATCTTCTCGATTTTCCTCACAGCTTTCAGCTCAGTTTCAGCTGGAAAATTTGGCTTCGTTGACTTGGATTTCAATTTTAAGTGCCGCCTAGGAGCTGAGACGGGTTTTTTGATTGCATTTCTGCCACAAGAGCAATCCCCTTTGAAAAGATAAAGCCCACCGACGCCCCTGTTTCGAAATATATACTCCCTCCAAAAAAAAAAGAAAACCTATTTGTTTGGTGGGCGTTTTTTAGATGTGGCAGTTAAATTTGTGTTTTAATTACTCTTTAGATACAAGTTTTTAGAGAAAATGTTAATTTTAAGTACACACAACAAAAATTTTATTATTTTGCACTTAAAAAAAATATGTTTAAAGGAAAAGAAAGGAAATAGAATATTCCTAAATACTTAATTGATCAAAAAAAAATTATATTAGTATTTTCAATTTTAAAGCTTCGTTTTACACTTTCGAA